TATGGCTTGTCTAATAATAGCCATCTAATCATAGCATTTTTTTCGTAATTAGCAAGGCAAGGACTTTTTACTTTAATTTTTGGTTTCTCAATATTGCCATTTGATGTACTTATAACCGTACTCTCTCGCTCTACAATGGGCAAATAAAAATTTTCAAAGCTCTTGTCTCTTAATAGTGGAACCTGGATCTACTAAAGTGCACCACGTTTTCTCAAACAGTGTTAGCATTATAACTATTTTTTTTATCATAATATCCCGAGGCTAATTGGTAAAAAAAATCGTCATTAAGGTTTTTTCTACCGGATCCTCAACCCGACTTCTAACACTGATAATTCTGCAACTGCAAAAAATATCACACGCACACGAAAGCGGAACACGTACGCTAGGTCAACACAAAGAATCGGCATTTACTACACTGACAGAAACACCTCGAATTTTTAAAATGTTTTCAAGCGAACCAACATCTTACCGATGTTCTACGCATTAAGGAATATATATTATGATATTTTTTCCAAATTTGCCAATAATTTTTTCCCCTGAATGTAAATAAAAAAAAAAAAAAAATACAGTAGAAATTTGTTCAGCGTACATGGCAGCGAAAATCTATAGCAATGCTTGTGCATCGCAAACGTAAAATGTAGTAGTATTGAGGCGTGGGCACCACTGATCTACAACCATGGGAGTAGGCCTTCCAAGGTATTCTAAATATTCCTAGAGTACTGTCTAGAAAAATTATTTGTATTTTGAAGTCTGCTATTATGTTGACCCGATCCATTTGTTTGACCTCTAAAATTGTATGCGCTATTAGTTCTATTACTTTGTTGCTGACTTGTAGAATTTGTATATGCTCGCTGTAATTTTATTGATTATTAAGACTATTATCATATCTAGGCCTAAAACTTTGTTGGCCTGTAAAATTATTTCTGTTACTTGGCGCATTGTTTTGCGTCCTATAATCGTGATTTTTTCTTTTGAACCTATTAACATTTAAATTATTTGATTTTTTAAATGAAGGATTTAAATTACCTATAGTTCCTATGAAACTATATCTAATTCCTGATAACTGATAACTGAGTCAATGATGTGATTTGTTTAATACGTTGAATAAGCATACCTGAAAAAATTTCATTCATTGCCTCCCCGTTTTCAGCGAGAGCTCCAAATTCAGTTATAGCATCAATTATTTCATTATTTTTGCTACTTAACTCACTAAGGCTACCTACTCGTAATGTATTTATTTCTCTAGTCCCTTTGATAAAAAAGGGCCTTTTCGCGACGATAGCAAAAGCTAAAAATTATAAATTGAACATCTTTCTGGTGCTTGTCATCAGCGTCGATATGTATGCAAGCTCATACATATTTACGCTCGTTTGTAGGCGAAGCTGTTACAGCGGCAAGGAAAGCGGTGACAATCGGCGGCCGTTCGTTTATTTTTTTCGGGACAGCTCCGATTTTCTACCAGAAACACAATGTTGTGACGCTTTGTCTCGCGTCAACCTTTTGGCAGATTGACTCTATGACAAAACGTCAGTTTCGGCCATTAATTGACCGTGACAACGGAGATGCGAAAGATGCGTGCGGCACTTGTTATTATGAATCTATGTACATATGTATGTGGCTCGCATTTGCTTTCGTGAACATACAGACAAATGTGGCAAAGAAATAATACACATATGTATATGTCATGGAAATTATATTGGTACAAATATGGAAATGATAACGAAATAACGCGAATATGCATATTTCATGAAGGTCATCAACTTTCTTTGATGAAATGATGTTCATTTGGCACATCTTCACTTTGTAATAGTCGAAATAAATATAATTTGTTTGAAATATTAATTTATTTAAAAATTAAAAAAATAAAATTAAAGAGAAATAAAATKAAAATTATTTTTACCTAATTTTTCCCGATTTTGTACAAAAAAAATAAAACTTTTACAATTTTTCGGAAAATAATGGTTCATTTGATACAAAATAATCAAGCATATGTGACTCAGAGAATTTTTTTTTTACATTCTCTGTGTACAAAGTCTATTTTTCTTCAAATAATTTCTCTTTATTTATCCTCTGATGAATTCAGTCGTTTTACATATATTTGAAGACAGCAATGTTGATACAATTGTTCTTGTTAGTTCATGTAAAACTTTTATATGAAATAGATATAATAGAAAGTATATCACTTCCAATTGGGATGATGTCAGAGAAGGCGCTAGAGATGTGCACAAAAGATTTTTGTTCATCCAGCAGCATTACACCCGACAACTTTTCACTCATTAATTAATACGTGAAAGATAAGTAATTTTGTCCACTGTGCAACGCTCGGAAATTTGCCAATATTATTACGCAAATTTCATTCGCGTTTTCCGACGGATGTAAGATGACGTGCAAAACACCGTCCTCATAATGCTCCTTCTGAGCGCGTTATTCAACGTAATATTGCAAAATTAGCAAATTATTATAACCTCCACGTATGGTGGTATGGTGGCATCATTTGTCTCGAAATGAGGCAAGAAATGCCGTTACAATTAATCGTCATCCACCCACCTTTTTCCCCGGAATTCGGTACAAACTGGCAACACTGTGCAGTTTGCACTGAAAGTTGTGAAAACTGCACATTTAAAAATTTGCATTTCCGAGCTTAAAGAGAGAGAAAAAAATTTTAATAATCTCACAGATCGATTTCAGTTAGAAAAGCGCAAAAGTATAATTAATCGTGTAAAATAATAATTTATTAGTTTGAAAAGATTATTATAATTTTACGCAATCTCTTTCTTCTATGTGCTGTAAAATTAAAAATTATATTTGACATTAACAACTTACAATGAGCAACTACTTTTCAAATGTTGCAAGATTTGCGCGTTCTCAGTGACGACAGTGATGCTTTTTCGAATTTTCAATATTGGCAAATATGCCACCTTTTCCTTTTCAAACAGGTTGCATCTAAAAAACTGCGCAGTTGACATTACCGGAAACGCCCTATGTTAATTCAAAGGTTATTGCCAGTCTGCCAACAATATTCGTGGAGCTCTGTTTTGTAGTAGAACAAAACAAAAAAAACATTACTAGTCACAAATTGAGACTATACCTCAAAATGTCAAAGTTGCTATTCAGTAAACAGTCTCCAGCTCAAAATATTGTCTCAAAATATTGTCACCTGATTGTTAACAGGTCACCAAACTAAAAAGAGCTCTTGGCTGCCGTTTTGAATATACTGAATATAGATCATCACAAATATTAATCGATTGTCGAACATGAAAAGGTTAAAAATAAAAAAATTTAAATAAATTTCGTAATTATTATGAATATATCAAGATATATTTTTATTTTTTATTGGTAATTATGTTTCTTGACTATGTTATAGAAAATGTAATATTTGTTATCGATATATTTATTTTCATTCAAGTGTATAAACAACTCTGAATAATGAAATGTAATAGATTTTGTGACTGTAACTTACAATAGCAAAATCGTCTCAAGTCATACAAATTGCCTCTAATACCATGCTCAGACCGACACTTAATCACACGATTTCGGCTGCTGAGTGGTTTATCCCACTAATCTTATAAATTTATCAAGATTTCGCCATACAAAAATGACAGTTCAAAATCACTTCATCGGAGTGATTTGAAACTGATCCACGCTAAATCTCTCTGTGCGACTCTGACTTTGTGCCATTTATTTGGCAGCATTGGAAATCTATTACATTATCACAGCTGATTTAGACACTACAAAGGAAACAAAATGTAAACAAACAAATTTTTTTTAACAGCAATGAATCTAATTTCACCTGAAAATCCACTTCGCAAATGAAAAAATGAGTCCATTATTTCCACAATATGGAAAATATTTCAAAGAATACGGCGCTTATTACAAAATACTATATGACAATGTTTTATTTTCATAAATATTGAGCGATGTGAATTCTTGAATGCCAAAAACAGCTGTTCTTTAATCTTTCCAACGGCAGTAAGAAAACTGTTGGGTTATGAAATGCTAAAATGTAATCTAAACTTTTACATTTTCGGTCTGAACATGGTATAACTTAAGGGAGAGCCTAAGAATATGTCCCCAAAGTTTTAGATGGGAAATTGAAATATTTGGAAGCTAGAAGGAATATAGTGACCGAACGTCTAGCAGATATATGACCGATTGTGTAGAAATTGATTTTTCTTAATACTTAATGGAATAGGGGCAAAGTTTATTATCTTTGGCATTAAATTATTTTCTGTTTAAACTGAAGAAACTGAGAAAAGTCTAGTTTGAACATATTTTTAAACAACATAAAGTAAAATTTTTTTAGTCAAAAGCAACTTTTTTTCACAATTTAAAAAATTTCTGAAATTGTACACATTTTTWTGGAATGTTTTTAGTATAATTAGAAGATGAATTATTATAAAATATGAATCTTTTTGAATTTTTGGTTTCCGATAGAAATTGCGACCTACATCCTGCCCGCTGTCCGACAAACGCACATGCGAGATGCATCGGGCAATTGCTTGATATCAAATCAATTGCAGAATATCAAAGATTTCGTAACTAAAAAATTTGTGAATGTTGTTTAAATATTATATATAACTATAAGCCTTGAAATTTTGCTTTAATCGCTTGTTCGTTTTTCTCCCAAAAAATCGTCAAAAAATAGACTTTTTGAAGTTTTTAAATCAGGCTCCCCCCTTTAAATCTCAAATATAGAGACWTGTGACTTACTCTCCATTTGAAATAAATTCCGTTTTCTTATCATTAGCCTTGGGCTTTAATTTTATCAAGAATCTTACATTAAAATACTGCCAATTGAACAATTGAAATTAGTTTATTTCTGTATGTGATGCTAAATTTGACTAAAATAAATTTTTGAATATACACCAATTCAAATTTTCATGGTGATACAGACTTGCCGTTCTGTCCATATCACTATTTCATTGCTTTATTTAATATCATTTCAAGATATTTCTTCTCAAATTACATTTTTTAAATAATGAAATTGCTTACTGTTATAGGCCCATCCTGATACCAAAATTTACAACTTTGATAAATATGATGGATGGTCTAGTTTGGAAAATATTTGGAGGCAAGTTCTAGAGTTCCGTAGTTTTTTGGAGGTAATTGGAAGGAAACATCCAGATGGTATCAACGTAGTAGGCATGATTTCTATATGTTTTCTATGTTTGTAATTACATCTTAAATATTTTTTTTATTCAGGGTACTCTCAAGGGGGACTTATAGCTCGGGCTGCTATTCAAACTCTTCCTTTTCATAAAATTAATGTTTTCATTTCACTCTCATCACCACAAGCTGGTCAATTTGGAGGTAAAGTTATATAAAGAGTCATTGCCATTACAAAATATAATTACTTTCAGCGAATTTTTTGCATCTTGTATTTCCGGATTTGGCAGCAAATACTGCTTATGAGCTTTTTTATTCAAAAATTGGGCAGCACATATCGATAGCGAATTATTGGAATGATCCTTTAGAGCAAGATTTATACTATAAATTTAGCAAATTTTTGCCAATAATAAATAATGAAATACGAACACATAATTCTAGCCAGTACAAAAACACTTTACTTCGTTTGAATAAAATGATTTTAATAGGAGGTCCAAATGATGGCGTAATTACCCCTTGGGAATCTAGGTTAGTAAGTCAATCCGATTGTAAAGAATAGAATAATTTATTAGTGATTTCTTACAGTCACTTTGGATATTTTAACACAACATTGAATGTAATACCTCTACACAAGCGACCAATATACATTGAAGATGCAATTGGTTTGAAATCTCTCGAAAATAATGGCAAATTAGTAATAATCATCAAGCCATTTGTCCATCATCTTACATGGCATAAAAATCGACGCGTCATACAAGAAGTAATTATTCCATACCTGGATTAAATATTTTATTTGGGTTTGTGCAATTCAATAGCTTTACCTTAATACACAAGTGCATTTACCAAAAAATTTTTCGTTTGAATGTKGTGGAAGTAACCAAGTTCCATTGGAAATTCATCAATGTTTTAAGTCTTTCTCTTTTCTAAAGCTCATTAACTTTCAATTACTTAAAAGAAAAAAAAATGAATTAATGAAGTGTTAGTGGATATAAGAGTTAAAAATATAAGTGTAAATTCATTATAAATTGGAAAAACACGCTTTTTAAATAGTTGAATTTTGAAATTTAAATGCAAATATCTCAAAAACCACATGTCAGTGTAAACTATATACATATATATTCCTGATCTGAAGGACCTCCTCTATCCGCATATTCTATTGTTATTCTAAATCGCATATATAGTACATATATCGGAAAAATGTTTTTCTAACAACGCTGCATCTCTGCTGCTAAATTAAATAAAATTGGGTGAGGCAAGGGCCTTAAACCAGTGGTCGGCATGAGAGGATCTGTCACTGTGTTGATGAGCACGGAAAAAAGTAGCCCAGTGAGAAATTGGAATTAAAATTAGGTAAATTTTATAAACAAAATTATTAATTATTTTATAACAAAATCTCAGAGCAAATAATAAAYAGATAAATAAGAAGTTCTGCAGTTTCTCGAAATGAAAGGACTAATTTATATATATAATATAAATACAGCTTAAACTAATTGTTTAATGTTATATCTTTAATATATTTATCAATATCAATCTTTTTATGACAATTTCTTATTAAAATAATATTTTTTAAATGTGTTGAAGAATTTTTATTGTGTTGTTTGGAACAAATAAATTTTAAATCTGGGGTCTTACTCTGTAAAGCGATGCGAAAGACAATGCGATTTGAAAGCCCAATGCGATGCGATAGGCAATTGATACTCTGTATTGCTTACTCATCACTAACAATGTTGTTCACCTTTTCTTTTTTTTTTTTTTGTAAGAGTTGGCATTACTTCCAAAAACGTCAAGGTATAAACGAGCAAAATAAAGAAAATAATAACAATTTGTTCGTTAAAACTGTGTTGAATAATTTAAAAATGAATTCTGTTCCATTATGGGATCATTATTATTCTCAGGAAAGAATTGATAGAAGAATTATTCGAGATAATTCGGACATCATGTCTCTAAGCGATAAAAGGTTAGTAAAAAATTGCGATTTTAAAATGTACTTAAAATCTACACATTTTGTGTTTTTAGCTTCATGCAAAATTTCCGCCTCAACAAGCACGCATTTTTATATGTTTTGGATAAGATAAGACCCCAATTAAAAGTCGCTCAAAGGACTACATCAATTCCTGAAATTGTAAAACTGTCAACAACCTTGAAGTTCCGCGCACAGGGCGGGTATCAACACTCGGTCGGCCAAAATAGGCATTCAGGGCTAGAACAACAATCGGTTTCCCGATGCATCTTGGAAGTGTGCGATGCTATCGAGAAAACGCTGTGCCCAAAGCATATCGTGTTTCCCTTGACCATTGAGGAAAAAATTGAAGCAAATAGAACCTTTTACTTGACGTCCGGAATTCCAGGCGTAAATGGAGTGATAGATCACATCCTGTTGATACGACCATTACGGAATGAACGCTTATTTTTTWATCGTAAACTAAAATACAGCATAAATGCAATGGTGGTAAGAAAATTCATAAATACAATAATATACACGTACATATATTACATATATTATATTGATTCCAGTGCAATGACCTAAAACTTTTTTTTAGATATGTGATCACAAAATGCAGATAAGGGCAGTAAATGGTAGATTTGGAGGCGCGTCGCAAGACTCCCACGTATGGAACCTCTCAGGAGAACGTGAAAGTTTGAGGATGAACTACGAAAATGGAAATAGAAGCGAACGAATTCTTGGTGAGTATATATAACTGTAGTAATAATAACTTATGGCGGCTAAATCTCCATAAGCTAAAATTGTTATATATTATTACATTATATTGATGTTTTAAAAGATATTATCAACATCTCTCAGCAACACTTATGCATATGATTTTGTTATTATTATTATAGGAGACTCCGGATATCCTCTTGAACCTTGGCTGTTAATACCATATAGGAATGCGCCAGAACGTTCTGACGAACTCTATTTCAACCAACAGTTTACAAAAGGCCGATAACTGATTGAACGCGTGTTTGGTGGATTGAAAGAGAGATTTCGATGCTTGTTATCGGCAAGAGAGCTACATTACGCGCCTGAAAAAGTCGTTAAAATTTTGAACGTATGCTGCGCTCTACACAATATATGCATTTTGTACAAGGTAGAAGTAAAAATTAATATTACATTTGAGCCAGAAGAATTTTCTACCACTAATATAGATTCACCTAATAGTGGTAATTTTATTACTATTGCTAGAAACATTAGGGACGATATTAAAACAAATATGATAAATGCTCGTAACTCAACTTAATTAAAACGAACTATTTGCAAATTAATAAATCCAGTCTATTATTTGATTGTAATAAGGAAAATTAAATTGAAATAATTACAGATTAAATTTGTAATTTTTAATTCTACTTCTCGCAGTTATATAGTTATTTAACTTACATTTTCCAGTTTCTCAATTTTTGTTCATAAATTTTTTGTTTATATAGAAATTTTTCCTTTTCACATTTATAATTTATCTGTGCAATTATTGGAATTACCTTTTTCCACTCCGCAATGTCGCGCAATGATGGCCCAGCTGCGTTTAAATGGGAAACTAAGTTTTTCCATAAATTATTGGAGGTACTTTTTGCGCCTTCATGAAATTCACGAGAATTTCAAATTGCTTTGTTTGAGATTGTTGTTCTATTTTCGGTTCTTCCGTGTAAATTTGTACAAAATAGTTCATATGCACGGCGTTATATATTTTAGTAGCAATTAAAACAACTAATTTATATTTGAAACTTACATTTTCAAGCATGACCTTCTTTATACTGGCATGGCACCAAAGGCATTTAGAACCATAAAATATTTCTGGCAGGACATATTTAGTTTTGCGCTATTGTGTTGCGTGATGTTAATTCGTTGCTGGCTCGACAACGACTGAACGATAGAGCGTAAGTGCACGGGTGAAGTTAGTTTACACAATTGTGCTAAGAAATGCCAACCCCTGCCTTAAACCCAATATAACCAAACTGATGTACCTGAAGTTTATTTCTGGTTTTGATCCTGACAAGAGTATGAAATGTTCCATTACACTCTAAATTCGCGCTTCGTTACTTGTTTATAGTATATATCAGTGATCTGCAGTGAATATAATTATACTTTCAAATTCGTGAGTCTAATAGTTTTGCTCACCAAACGGTTATACGTATAACCTAAAACTAAGCCAGATAGGTATAGGGTTATGTTCATATAAATGATCAAGATGATGAGAAAAGTTGACACCTGGTTGACTGTCTGTTCCCGTCCATCCGTGGTATCACTTGAGTAAAAATTGATTATCTTGATGAAACTGAGTATGCAGGTTTCTTGGTACAAAACAAATTAAGTGGATGGCCGTAATCGGATCCCAAGACGTTTTGGGGGAAGCTCTGTTACCGGCTTATATTTCACTATTTCTGCATGGAAAAATTACCTTACAGGGTGTGTTCTAAAGTAAACATAAAAACAGACCAAATGGGTTTTTCGGCAAAATCAATTTATTTTATTCAAAATAGTCTCCTTCTGCCTAAATACAGCCTTTTGCACGGTCCAAAAGCATGTCGAAAGAGTGTTTTAGCTGCATAACGCTTTTCTTTCATGGGCAAATTCATTTTTCCGAAAAGGAAGAAGTCGCACGATGCCATATCCGTTGAATACGGGGAGTGGTTAATAGTTAAAATGTGATTTTTGGTCAAATATGGATGTCCTTCGAATGTTGGATTCTGAGCAATTTTTGGTCGTCAGTCAATTTGTAGGGAACAAACCGTGATTACACCTTTCCTAACCCCAAATGTTCAGCCAAAATACGATAAATCAATGTTTTAGAGATGTTCAATTCCATTTCCATGAATTTCAATGATGATTTGTGCTGATTTTTGATGAATTCACGTACAGTTTCGATGGAATTTCGGGTTACCATGGATTTTCATTGACCCACATGTTGAACGTAATTTATGTCCTCACGACCTTTGAAAACCTTTAAACCACTCATGCACTCCGCTACAGGATAGGCAATCATCGCCATAAACTTDCTTCATCAATTGAATCGTTTCGGTAAAAGATTTACCAATTTTAAAACAAAAATTTAATGTTGGCTCTTTGTTCGAAGCTCATTTTCGCACCGATAATTCAAACATACTGACACTTAAAACGCAATAACTTCAATTCCAATGAATGGAAAGTCATAAAACTCTCACTGTACAATCGATAAAGACAGCAGATTCTAAGGCACCAGTAGACAATATAGATGGCGCCACCAGTGGGCGCTAGATTCATAAATTCTTGTTTACTTTATAACGCACCTTGTATAATATCAAAAGTGTTCTCAATAATGACAAAAGTCAAAAAAGTAATTTGCTTGCGCTCAATCATACTAACAATACTCACAAGTGTTTCGAATTCATAATTGTCAGAGAAAACAAAGCAAATAATTGTGTAGTAAGCGATTATCCAATTCCTTTCGTTGTTTTGGCAGCGGTGTCGTCGTGTGGTGGCTGCTTGCTGGGTGTCGTRATGTTCTCAAGTGTGGTGTGATGTGTTAGATTTTCCCGGGTAGAGTGGGGGGAAGCTTAACTCATTTAAACATCCTTGACCCCCTAGGTGAATATTCTGCCTAGTATTACAAGTATGTACTATATATGGCTGTTTATTATTTGCCTTTTCTGTGTTATCAGCTTATAAAGGATAGTAACTCCACGCTTGGCTCAGATGTGACCAGAATGGGTCCTTAGCCCTGGAGTTAGGACTACGAAATTAGAAGGATTTTGCGATAGAGTAGTCGTGAATGGAGGACGGCTTCGATTCGTAATGTAGATAATTCTTCATAATTAATTAATGTTTTTTATAGCTGATTCCGATTAATCACCGATGTGAGGAGAGCTTATGTAGATGCGAATATTATTCGACTTTTTGGATAATTTTATTATAAGTAATATTTAAGCACGTATGCCCTAATTTGGCAAGTGGTAGCCCGCCACATCTCTAGGATTTGTTCAGAATTGTTTTTTGTTTTCATTATTGGCGAAAGCCATACTGCTGGGCCTAAAAGTTGTATTTGCTTGAATATTTTGCCACGTAGGGCAGTTTCTTCTTGATGAGGGCGATTGCTCACACAATAGTAACGGTTTTTCTGGTAATGCTGCGGTGCATATATTTAACAAAATAAGATCCCAATTGTACGTGGTAATATTTTGTGTCGATAGAAACGACAAACAATTTGAAACAATGGATTCTAGTTTTATGAATTGTACACTTGTTTCTTTCTTAATATTTGCCAAGTTCATTGGTGTCGTTACTTGTTTATCGACCAGTATTCTTTCGTTTTCATATCTAGCTTTTAGAGTTTCCCAAGCCAAATTGAAATTGTCGTCTTTAAGAGCGAACTGTCTTACCATTTCGCCTGCTTGACCTTTAGTTTTGTATTGGAGGTGATAAAATTTTTGTTCCCTTGATAGTTTTGGATGGTCAATGTAAACGTCTGTAAATATGTCCCGGAAGGACGGCCATTCTTCATAAAATGTGTCTGTGTCACAATCGGGCACCTCGAGGTAGATGCCTGCAATTACCTTTTGTGTGTATATTTGTGGTAGCTCTATTCTCGAACGTGGAGTAGGTGCAATTGCTTTTATTAGCTTTAAGTGATCGGATATCATAGCTTTTGTTTTTTCTTATTGGTCTAAGCAGTTTTCATATATTGCGTAAGTCAAGGGTTTACAATTTTGTGGTAGATCTGAATCGTCAGATGTCACTATGGCGTTATGAGCCGCTTGGAGGCGAGTCCAAAAAGTTTTAAGATTTTGATTTTGAATTTTTAATAAAGATTCAGAGTTTTCATGAATCGGTGAAGAAACAAAACTAGTGCAGTATCCTAAAACACTGCCACATTGTAAAATAAATTTAATAGCCGGTGTTGAGTGTGTAGCTCCTACAGGTGTATTTTGAATTTTGTCGTTATTAACCATTTTGGTTTTATTTTAAAATGTCTTTAAAAATAATTAAAATTTTTTCTCGCAGTGTAACTGATTTGAACAAGGAAATAGAGTTTGCTTAAAACCAAACACTCTCTTGGGTAAATAGAGTTTTTATGTTCGATTTATATTGGTAAAAAAACGATAACGTTATTTCGTATTGTTATTACCGTTCCTTATTTACTTGCGATATTTTTTATTAACAATTTATTTCAATTATAAAATGCGCTTCTTATTAATATAATTGATGTACGAATTTAGGTACACCCTAATAAGTGGACTTGTATGTACATGCGTATTTAGGTACTTATGTTTTTTGAAATTGAGAGCCCGTCGAAGAGATCAATGCGTATTTTGTATACAATCATGAATGTTTTTGTTTGCAAAAGAACAAGGGGTATTGCCGAATAGTAGCCAATATGGTCTTTGAATATTCGTTTGCACTAATGTGTTAATATGTAATATGTTGAGATTTTGTTTAGTGTCACAGGCATACTCCTTGTCGTATGATTCTATACACATTCATAAATGTTATTATATTCTTTTGAAAAAGTGAGAGAGAGATTTAAGACAGAATTGAAAAAGTTGCAAGTTACCGCCACCAAAAGCTAACGGCACGTATGCCTAAAATAAACCATACTTGTATAAATTCATAATTAAACGAATTTGTCAAATATGTTATTGACATATTGCCAATTAGGAAGCGGCCATAGGCTATAACCTATGGCACTCTTTAAGTAGAATTAGACAGTACATCATCTAACCCCTAAGTCTGCACCAGAGGTAATGAGATCCCCAACTCCTCTCTCACTGGAAGTGAGGGACCAATTACTAAACGTCAAAACCTACCGAGCTTTGACAGTTGACTGGATTGATTAGGTTTTGACGTTTTGCAATTGGAATGACTGGAACGGCCCGATTGAAATTATACCAAAAATATATGTGAACGGAGGAATTTATTGCCGTATATTAAAAGTCCATTATATAGTAATTTGCAATCGTAATAAATGTTGGGTATTTTAATTTAAAATGTCCAAAAATTCTTATTTGGTGCGATCTGGCCATAATGGAAAATGTTATAAAAAACGCTTATTTTGAGACGCTCTGACACTGGAATAGGTTGGGCTCCTCATTATCCCTGGTCTGCACTTCTTAGAATGGAAGATGAAACTATGTATCTAGCCCAGTGGTCGGCATTTCCTAGCAAAATTTTGCAAACTAACTTCACACGTACGCTTACGCTCTATCGTTCAGTCGTTGTCGAGCTAGCAACTGAGCTTAAGACAGTGGTCGGCATGAGAGGATCTGTC